TTGAATTTCTGCCAAATTTTTTCTTGTGATTGAGTTCCAGTTTTAAAGCATTGTGATCTGAGAACATGCAGGGAATAATCTCAATCTTTTGGTATCGGTTGAGACCTGATTTGTGACCCAGTATGTGGTCTATTCTGGAGAAAGTTCCATGTGTGCTTGAGAAGAATGACTATTCTGTTGTTTTAAGGTGGAATGTTCTGTATATATCTATGAGGTCCATCTGGTCCAGTGTATCATTCAAAGCTCTTGTTTCCTTGTTGATTTTCTGCTTAGATGATCTGTCCATTGCCGAGAGTGGAGCATTGAGGTCTCCTACAATTAACATATTGTTATCAATATGACTCTTTATTTAACAGTTGGCTTATGTAGATGGCTGCTCCCATGTTGGGGGTGTAGATATTTACAATTGTTAGATCTTGTTGGATAGACCATTTAAGAATGATATAGTGTCCTTCTGTGTTTAGTTTAAAATCTAATTTATCTGATACAAGAATTGCTACCCCAGCTTTCTTTTGAGGTCCACTGGCATGGAAGATGGATCTCCATCCCTTCACTTTCAGTCTGGATGTATCTTTAAGTTCAAAATGAGTCTCTTGTAGACAGCATATGGATGGGTCCTGTCTTTTTATCCAATCTGCAACCCTGTGCCATTTTACGGGAACATTTAGGCCATTCACGTTGAGAGTGATTATTGAAAGATATGAATTTATTGTCATCATGTCGCCTGTGAAGATCTTGTTTTTATAGATTGTCTCTGTAAATTTCTGTTGTATATCACTCTAGGGGTGTTTCTCCTTTTATAGAATCCCCCTTAATATTTCTTGCAGGGCCGGCTTAGTGGTCACATATTCTTTCAGTTTCTTCCGGTCGTGGAAGCTCTGCATCTCTCCATCCATTCTAAATGACAGCCTTGCCAGATAAAGTATTCTTGGCTGCATGTTCTTCTCATTTAGTACCCTGGATATCTCTGGCCAGGCCTTTCTGGCTTGCCAGGTCTCTGTGGATAGGTCTGACATTATTCTGATGTTCCTCCCTCTGTACGTAAGGAATGTCTTCCCCCAACTGCCCTTGGTTTCCTTGGTTCCAAGATTTGCAAGTTTTACTATTACATGCCAGGGTGTTGGCCTGTTTTCCTTGATCTTGGGAGGGGTCCTCTCTGCCTCTAGGACATGAATGTTTGTTTCATTCCCCAGATTAGAGAAGTTTTCAGCTACAGTTTGCTCAAATACATCTTCTAGTCCTCTCTCTCTCTCCACCCCCTCCAGGATTCCAATTATTCTGACATTGGAACGCTTCATGGTGTCACTTATTTCTCTGATTCTATTTTCATGGATTCTGAGTTGTTTTTCCCTGGCCTCCTCTTTTCCCTTTTTATCTATTTAATGGTCTTCTGGGTCACTAATTCGTTCTTCTGCCTCACTTACCCTAGCTGTTAGATTATCTAGATTGGATTGGATCTCATTGATAGCATTTTTAAGTTCTGCCAATTCAGCTTTCATTTTTGCCCTTAGAGACTCTATGTTTCCATTAATTGATTTCTCCATTCTAGCTATTGTCTTCACAATTGCTAGCCTGAAATTCATCTCCGACATCTTGGTTATATCTCATCCATTTGTAAGTCTGCAGCATAAGTCATAATCTCTGAATCTTTTCTATTTTGGGGGTTCCTCCTCCTAGTCATTCTGTTGATGGGTGGTTGAGGGAATGTATGGAGTCCAAATTATTGACCAGAACCCAAGAAAGATGCACCTGTTTTCTTGGGACCTTAGGGTTGCTGGCCTCTTGTTTTCCCAGCCTGTCTTCTGGGGGAGGGGACTGCCACGCTGTTACTCATGCAACCCTGTTTGGGTGGAGTTGCCCTTCCCACCTGTGGTGGGGGATGGGCTCAGCGGGAATCGGTTTTGGGGGCTTTTGTTCTCTGGCAGCTTTCCCTGGCAGCTTTCCGTGTCTCTTCCGTGAGTCAGAGCAGAAGAGACTGTTTCCAACCCTCTACCTCAGAGCACAGAGACTGTTCTTCAGTGAGCTCTCCTGGCCACACTGTCTCCATTTCTGTCCATGCGGCTTTAAACTGCAGCATCCTGGGTTGTGCGCCCCTCCACAGTACCGCCAGTCCTGCCTCCAGGTCGGAGCCCGTCTCTGCCCTTTGTGCTTCTAAAACCGCCAGCCGCCCCCAGATCGCACACGCGACCCCGCCACTCCAGGTTTCCACCCCGGGGGCTGCCCTAAAGTCCCCTCCCCACTGCTACCAGTCTGTGAGTCTGTGCCCGGTGCCCAGCGAGCGAGGCTGTCATTCAATGTCGGTGTAGGCTCTCCATGGCCAGGCACCCTCCTGCTGCTGTTTATCCTCCAATATCCGCCCACGGAATCATGGCTCCCCGCTTCAGTACCTCGAAACCAACTGCCCGCAATATTCTGTTTGTAGAGATCCAGATCTTCTTACATCTCAGGCTGGTTTCATGGGTGCTCAGGGCGGTCTGGTAGATATCCAGCTCAATTCCGGGGACTAGTTGAAATGGGGCCCCCTACTGCTCCACCATCTTTCCTCTCCCCTTCTCTGTACATTTTGGCAGGAGCACGGACCCAGCATAGCTTTCTCAGCTTCTGTGGTTTGGCAAAGCAATCAAAAGTGGCTTGTGCTTTCTCAGACCTGCCTCCTCTGCTTCTCTCTCCCACTTATTTTTTATTTTTTTACTTGAGTATAGTTGCCTTTTTTTTTTTTTTTTGGTAAGGGGAGTTATTAGAAGTTTTTAAACACAAGAGCGTCATAATGAGAGCTGGCTTTTCAAAGGATTTGTTTGTCAGTGTTAGGGTGTCTGTAAGGATTGCCATGTTGGAGGAGGGACTGGGCGTGCAGGGATGTGGGTAGAATTAGGTACAGGTGCTTTGGGTCAGAGGGACTTAAACTTGAGGGCTGGCTCTGCCATCTGCAAGTGGCACAACTTCAGACAGGCTCCTTAGCTTCTGTAAGCCTCAGTTTCCTCATCTACAGACAAGGGTGCTGACAGGACCCACTCCAGTGGCTTCTTTTGATGACTGAGGCCGTGCACTAAAGCATTTAGTGAAATGCTTGGCACAGAGGAAGCCCCAATAAATATGAATTATTATTAGTAAGACAGTGGGGTAGCCTTCGAGTACAGACCTGCTGAGGGTAGTGGCGGTTCACAAGGAAAGGAAGGAGTGAATGGGAGATCTTCACAAGGAGAAAGGACAGGATTTTCTCACCGATGGGACGAGGTAAGACACAGATGTCTCCTGTAGCTCTTGTTGGATGACTGGGAAAAAAAAAAAAAGTCAGAGAAGTTGGTCTTGGAGGAAAAATGACATTTGGGATTTGCAGTAAAATTTATAAACACGAAAAATACTTCAAAAATCTGTTATTTGGGGATGCCTGGGTAGCTCTGCCTTCAGACCAGGTCATGATCCCAGGGTCCTGGGCTCGAGTCCCGCATCTGGCTCCCTGCTCAGCAGGAAGCCTGCTTCTCCCTCTGCCTGCCACTCCCCCTGCTTGTGCTCTCTCTCTGACAAATAAATAAATAAAATCTTTTAAAAAAATAAAAATCTGTTTTTTGTATGTGTGTGTGCTTTAGGCATATTTATTTCTTTCATCATTTATCACTGTTTGCCTGAGGCATGCATCTTAAGATAAAGCTTTTCATTAAGTAACATGAAGAATGGAAACTTTTTTGCCAGGTGGCTGGCCTCCACAGCAATGTCTGTGCCCGAATTCCCCATTCCAATCACAAGGACTCTCTTGTCCTTAAATACATCTGGATGTTTATATTGCCGGCTATGAAAGTACTGACCTTTAAAGGTATTTATACCTATAGAAAAAGAAAGTCAAATAAAGAATTTTATAGGATCAGTGAATGAAACATAAATATTGTTCCATTAATATCCTTTTGATGGATTATTTTGGTTATTTTTTAATAGCATACTCTAAGAAAAATCCAAAATATGAATACATGGCTTTATAAGACACAGAAATTAGTGAGTGATTATTTAATAGAGGTACTTACTCTATTTCACTAGATAATCTAGGCCTCTAGGTTTATTTACTGCTAAGTTGAAATATTGTGGCATAAAGACTTATTAAGCAAAAGTGTAAGGAGTCATTACCATTTAAAAGTTGTTAGAAATCAATGGGACAGTAATATTCTACTTACTAATATTTGACTATATTAGAGCTTTTCATAAGCAAGGAACAAGAGCAGAGAAGTTAAAGGAAACTTGGAGTCAAGTGCCTCCACTCTACTCAGCCAACTTTTTTTGGCATCTATGTGCTTGGCACTGTGCTAGTTGATATTAGGGAAATAAGATAAATAAAATGTGGTTCTTATTTGAAAAGATCCATGTGGGTTGGGGAAGTTCAGTGATAGTTTTCCTTGGTGGCTGACTATAACTCAGGTTGAGTTTGCTAAGTCAGCAAGAGTTGGCTTCTGAGAAAAAGGGATTATGTTAGTTATACTGGGTTTAGATCTACTGTTCTAACTAGAAAGGATAGCTCAGGCAGTTGATGCCAAATTTCTCACTGAAACATTAAATGTGAGTGGAGAGTGTTGAAAAATACTCTCAAGGTTGCATTAACACAATCAATCAAAAGTAACACACACTATACAAAGAACCTATTTTTTCCAGAAAAAAGTGATAAGACATTTAGATTCTCAGAGGATAGATATGGATGCTTGTGGCAAGTAGCCTTGTCAAGATCTGGTAGCTCTTTAGTTCACCTTGAATCATTAGAAATCTGATATGAATCTCTGTTAAAACCCACCATAATCCAGAGCCTTTAGAATTTAACAATGATGCAACCAAGTTCAAATATTAATTCAGCCAGGACCCAGTATGGATCAGAGAATGGCTGAGGAGGGAGAGCTAGACAAATTTAAGGAGAATCATAGAATCATTATCCCTGGATGTTAAGTTACCTTAGATTTGCTTTTGGATCACAAATGAGCAAAAATGAGACTCTGTGGCTGAGTCTTCTATCAGACTAATATTTTTTCCTCTTATGTCACAAGAAGACAGAGTAAACACTTTTATTAGGTGAATGTGGTTGTGTTAGTAAACACACTAGAATGTGTATATCTGAATGAATAGAAGTAGTAATCTTGGGAAGTTATACATTTATTTTATGATACCTGTTATTTTTACTAAGACTTTTTGGAACATCTTTGGAATTGCCTCCAGAGAAATGTGCCTCCAGACACATGTTTTTAAATGTTTTAATGAATTTGAATTTTTGTGTTGGTTAACAATGACCCCAGTGGGGGCGCCTGGGTGGCTCAGTCATTAAGTGTCTGCCTTTGGCTCAGGTCATGACCCGGGGTCCTGGGATCAAGCCTCGCACTGGGCTCCCTGCTTAGCGGGAAGCCTGCTTCTCCCTCTCCCACTCCCCCTGACTGTGTTTTCTCTCTCACTGTCTCTCTCTCTGTCGGATAAATAAATAAAAATCTTTAAAAAACAAAACAAAACAAAACAATGACCCCAGGGTGTATGTATTATGTACTAAGCAAGTCTGTTGTGAGGCAGAAGGAGTTGGCGAGATTTGGAGGACTCCTTTTCAAATCTAAAGTCACAGAACTTTAGAGCTCAAAGGCTTCTTAATGATTAACTAGCCAGGGATTATAGCCAATTATATAATAATAGCCAATATAAATAATAGCCAATTGGTAGTGGCTGGTAAGATTGGTATTGAGAGGGCGCCTGGGTCGCTCAGTCGGTTAACCGTCTGCCTTTGGCTCAGGTCATGATCCCAGGGTCCTGGGATCGAGCCCCCCACAATCCCTGCATGAAACTCCCTGTTCAGTGGGGAGTCTGCTTCTCCCTCTCCCTCTGCCCCTCCCCCCCACTCATGTGCGCTCTCTCTCAAATAAGTAAATAAACAAACAAATAAAATCTTAAAAAAAAAAGACTGGAAAAAAAAGACTGCAAGTCCCATAGAGCTCCGTTTGCTTGATTTGTGATGTACGCTGTTGGGTGAGGTGGCCAAAGCCCCTCATATTTGGCAAAAGACCAGAGGCTTAGAAAGGTTAAGTGGAAGGCCCAAGACTGTATAGCTTGTGGACCATGTGGCCTAGAATCTGTACCTCCTGCTCTCAAGCCCATCCTATTCAAACTGAGGACATTGGTTCAGTTGCTTTCCAGGTACACTTTATCCTAATTTGACCTGAATTGAATGACATGTGGAGGGCAGAGCCAGCACCATTGGATGTACATGAGTTCGTCATAAAATGAGTATTGGTATCACTTGCAGGTCCTATGTAGACTGTGATTCCGCCACTGGACTCCTATAAGTCTCTTTTTGTTCCTTCCATACAGGCTACTGTTGTCTTATCCACCTCTGTATTTTTAGCACTTTGTGGGTGCCAAATAAATTCAGTGTACTCTCTATGTCAAGGAACCTTCGGGATTCTTGGAGTGATCCTGTACCAGGCACTCCTTCCTGGGAGTTTGGAGTAGTTTTCCTGCTCAGGGATTTTCTCTGTGGATAAGAGCTGAGAAAGGATTGGGTTGTCTTGTGGGGTGGTGAAAGTCCACTGTTGAACTGTTCAAGCAGAGGCTCCAGAGCCTCTCTCAGGGATGTTGGAGAATAGTTCCTTGTATCATGAAGAAGACTGGACTTGTTGCTTTCAATTCAATGAATTTAGTCAAGGGCAGTTTTCAGGATGTGCTTTATCCTGACTTGACCTGTCTTGAGTAAGCTCTGGGGGCATTGGAGGTATGTGAGTTTATTGTAAGATAAGCCTTGAGATCCCTCCAGGTCATATTTAGAAGATGAAGAGAAAAATTTCCTAAAGTTTTAAATTTTTGAAAACTTACTGCACATAAAAATAAATGAAACCATTGCCTCTTCTAGTCCCTCTGCACTGTCATCCAATGGAAATTTGACATAGATTAACATGAATCATGGTTGCAAAAACCAGATAAGGAAGCTGAGACTCAAGGATGACTTAACTTGGGTCCCAAGATGCTTCTCCCTGTTGACTACTGACCTAGTGACAAATACCTCTGATCTAGCTAAACCTCTACAGAACAAACAAACAAAAATCACACTACTTTTCTCTTTATTCATTGATTGACCTTTGTAGCCTCTAAACTCAGTTTTGGTTGTGTGCTACTGCTGAGGCTAACCGCTTGTGTAAGTATCCTGTGACTTAGAAGACTTTCTGAGTGATACCCATCACTTACGGAGGGACATTGAACCTTAGTGAAGCATAAAACTGCTTGCTAGTTATTTATTCTACCTTTTGGCACTTATTGGTTGTTTGAAACAAATGAAAGCCAAAAGCTGGCCAGAAAGTGCTGGTTAGAAAAGAATCCCTGTTACCTCACAACTTTAACTATTTAACGGAGGAACCATAGAAATGCATTCCCAGATCAAGCCAGTAACAAGATGGCTCACTTGAGACAAATTAAGATCAGTTTCAGAAAATGCTGTACCTGGAAAAGAGTCCAGTGGCAAATATGGGTTTGTAAGGAAACCAGTGCAGACCATGACAGCATCAAAGATGGCAGACTCTTGCTTTCCTTCATGCTGAGTGACCACCTCCCATTGGCTGGTGACAGTAAAATCTGGGCGTTTTGTTACTTTGCAGATTTTAGTCTGAAAAAAGAATTATAGTCACAATTAGTTGTTGTCAAGTTTCTAGTAAGGGCTTGCTGTCCAATGTATCAGTTGACATTTCAAATGTTTTAGAGCACAGACTAACCATAATTAATAAGCATAAATTTAGAAATTGAATCGAGTTATCAGATTAACTATAATTTTCTGGATGAAAATATTCTAAGCTTAGAGTTTAGAGTGGTGGGGTATTTAAGAGAAGTGATGAGATCCAAAAAGTTTGAGTGATTTGCTCAAATTCTCACAGTAAGTGATAGAACCAAGAACCATGGTCTTCAGATGTCTTTTTCATTATTTCTGTTATGTATATCTCTCTTAGAGTTATGCTTTAGTAGAGACATGGGCAATATAAATTGAAAATATAAATTTGGATCTAATGAAAGGTCTTATAGAATATGTTGCTAAAACTTTCCCAGATCCCGAGAATGATTGGGAAATGCTAACTTTATGGCCTGAATGTTCTGGGAGGAGCCCAAATTTCAGTCTATTTTATGTTTTAATCGAGTGCATATAAGTTTATAGGTGTGAGGTTCTGATTCAGAAAATATGTAAAATAAATTTACAAGTCAAATTTAAAAGCATAAATGCTCCTTTGGCCAAGAGATTTTGCTGCCTTTCTTTTTCAGTTCTCAGAGAAGACAGGCAATTCAAGTCTTTCCTAGTGGGTTCACTATTTGTTTTATAATATTTGAAGCACTTGTTGGATTACAACATTTGTATTAGGAACTCTTCCTTTTTTAAATATAAATTTTCAGGGCACCTGGGTGGCTCAGTTGGTTAAGCAACTGCCTTCGGCTCAGGTCGTGATCCTGGAGTCCTGGGATTGAGTCTCACATCAGGCTCCCTGCTCGGCAGGGAGTCTGCTTCTCCCTCTGACCCTCCTCCCTCTCATGCTCTCTGTCTCTCATTCTCTCTCTTGCAAATAAATAAAAAATCTTAAAAAAATATTAAAAAATATATGTTTTCAGTTAATTAAAAATTAATTGATTTCAAAATAGAGTTTACTTTTATCTTTTTTTTAAAAGATTTTATTTATTTATTCATGAGAGACAGAGAGAGAGAGAGAGAGAGGCAGAGAGAGAAGTAGGCTCCCAAGGGGCAGGGAGCCCAATGCGGGACTCGATCCCAGGACCCTGGGATCATGACCTGAGCTGAAGGCAGACGCTTAACCATCTGAGCCACCCAGGCACCCAGAGTTTACTTTTATCTTAAAAATAACTGTTTGTAATTAAAAATTTGGAATGCACAGAGAAGAAAGAAATTTCTTATGTGTGTACCTTCTTAAAACTTTGGTGAACATCTAGCTTTAAACTTTTTTTTTTCAGTTATTTTAAAATAGACTTGGGGCAGCATGTAAGTAAAGGAAATGCTTCAGATTCAGGAACTCTGATGCATTAAAAAATATTTCTGTGGATCATATACCTCCACTATGGTAGTGTTTCATTTTTACTGTGTCCCTTGCAAAATAAGGAAGTGGAGTAAAATACTCTTTGGAAAACTGCAATACTTACAGTTTGATTGAAATATAATTGGCATACAACACTGTATAAGTTTAAAGTATATTATGTAATGATCTGATAAATATATATACTGCAAAATAATTCCAACAAACAATAAGTTTAGTTCACATCCATCACCTCACATAGTTATAATTCTTTTTCTTGTGATAAGAACTTTTAAGATTTACTCTCTTAGCAATTTTCAAATATACAATTCAATACAGTTAACTATATTCAACATGCTGGACATTATATCCCCACAACTGATTTATCTTATAACTGGAAGTCTGTACCTTTTGACCATCTTAACCCATATACCCCAACTCCCACCCTTCACCTCTGGCAACCACCAATCTGTTCTCTTTCTATGAGTTTGGTGTTTTTAGATTTCATATACAAGTGAGATCATACAGTATTTGTCTGACTTATTTCACTTAGTATAATACTCTAAAGGTTGTTGCAGATGGCAGGATTTCCTTCTTTTTTATGGCTAAACAGCATTCTAGTGTGTGTGTATGTGTATGCCACATTTTCTTTATTCATGTACCCATTGATGGACACTAGGGTTGTATCCATTTCTTGACTATTGTAAATAATGCCACAATGAACACAGGGGTGCAGATATCTCTTCAAGGTAGTGGTTACATTTTGGTCAGTACTTTTAAGGTTGTGAATATGAATCTTATTTACTACTAGCTTTGGTCACTTATGTTGCTTTCAATTCCCTGGGAGTTCCTTACCATCCCCATCTGTATCAAGGAGAGGGGGAGATAAGAGAAGGAAAACACATTGATTTTCATGCTTCTTGGAGAGGAAAAGAAGGGGAAAAAAGAGAGTATATTCATTTGCCTCTGTCCTTCTACCTTCTTCCTATCTCTCTTCTTGGAAATGGGTAGGGAGGTGGGTAAGGCCTATGAAAAGAACAATATTCAAAGATTTTTCTATTCCCAAGGATATCTAGAAAAGATTTCCTTCAAATAGTGAGGTTCTTTTGTGTATGGGCCATTACACATGTTTATTCCTATAAAGGGATACTCAAGAAGAGAGGATTTAGGTACTGGTGGAAGTCATCAATGTTCCAATGCACTTTTGTCCCAAGCTGAGATTGTGGTTTGATATTTTCAGGTCCCTTTGGGTACTTGGATGAACTTATTACTAACTAAAAATGTATACATGTGAATCCTTACAGAAAGTATCCACCTCTACCTCCAGATTTACTTAGGGTGGGTGTGAGTACAAGGGGAAAAGGAATCCAGCCAGGTGTCATCAATCTTGCCAGTTCATGATCTCATCTACAGAGCCAAGGGCTAGGCTATTGAGAGAAATAGGAAACAGGTAGGCAATACTTTCTGACTACTGACTGATGTTTTGTGTCTTACCTTGAATTGAATGCATTCCAGAAGTTTGAACCAGTTTGCATACATTTTGAGATATTCCAGGAATTGAGAATTTGGCACATAGTTTGGATAATCTTCTGGGAATGGAAAGTCTGAGTAACAAGACATCTCCTTGCAGCTGTTGGAAACCACAGACTTATAGAGGCTGGCTCTGCCTTCTTCAACATGTTCCTGTACAAACAGTGTACGCACATGAGTGTGTATGCATTTGTGCCTGTGTGCACACACACATGAAAATGGATGTTAATTTTTAGACATTTCAAACACTGACAGAGATTGAAGTTACCCTTTCTAATGGGATTTGTTATCCTGCACTTGAGGTAGGGTGAACACTGAACACTGAATTTTATGATCTGAATTGCAATTTCATTCATTACATGTGAACAAATAAACCCAGGATGAATTCACCTTTCCAGATTCACATGGCATTATGGCAAAATACAGGAAAATAGGGAAATAGACCAGAGCCAGGAAGTAGTGTCTGGATGATGGACAATTGCTAGGTAGTTTGGTTTCACAGGGTGTTGTTGAAAGGATTATGGAGAAGGGGGTTCAGATTATGAAGGATTTTGTGTCTAAGGTTAAGGAATTTGGATTTTATAGGAAGGTGATGGCAGTCTTCTGAATGTTTTAATGTGGAAGTGATTCCAGTTATATTTTGGAAAGCTAATTCCTGTTCTACAAAAGACGAATGACAGAAGTCTGCAAAAGAAGGAAGGAGGCTGGTGAAGAGCCTAAAACACAAATCCACTCTAGCCATCCCTGAAGGCAGCCTGAGCAGAGGCATTGGCAGTTGAAACAGAGAAGTGGAAATTGAGGCAGCAGAATGACAGAAGGCACAGGATGGTGGAGTGGTTTGGATTTAGGACTTGGGAAAAGAAGCAGGTCAAAGGTTTCTAGACTGGATAACTGTGCACACACATGATGAAAGACTCATTTCCCACCCCCAATTTCGACCTGAATAAATGGCAAATATTAGCATCTCAGACAACTCCCACCGGGTTGAATAATTATAAGTTTTGGTATATGTAGTCATTAATATACACTGCCTCTGTCTTTTGTATGTATTATGAAGGATGCTCTGAGTTTAATGGGAAGGCAGGCCTTAGTATTTTAATATTTAATATTATTAACCATTGGTTATGTATAGTTCTTTTTTTTTTTACCTGTGAAACAATAATTATTTTATTTGTGTGAACAAGTGGAAAGACGAACATAAACTTCACATGTAGAGGAGGGCTCACTTTGTTCCTTCAAATGATGTGAATCTAGATCTGCATGAAATGTGTAGTGATTACAGGGAATAAAATTATAAACATATCTTTGTGGTTTCAATTAATGCTGCCGATCTCATCAACTAAGGAGTTCACTGTATCTTGCTTGTCTGCGGCCCCACCTCTGACAGTCTCATTTGTCCAGAATAAATTTAGAAAACTGGAATCTAAAGGCTTCTGAGAAAGATGACTATTTAAGTCCTGATCTTTTATTCTGCTGGGAGATCTAAAGCAGTGTTACTCAAAGACGTAGTTGGCTAAGCAATATGGAGCTGAATTGATCATTAGCACTCTATGACAAGATAAGTACAGAAATTGAGAGTAAGCATCTGGAAACTTTTACAGAGATAATTCAACATTGCTCAATATCCAAGCATGTGGACTCCTATATGTTGAATGAGACTCACATCAGTCTCAGTTTTATCTGACCCCTGTGAGAAATGCTGTGGTCATTGGGTTGTATACTAGACGTGGGCAGTGGGACTACATTAGTGATGTTTTGTTTTTTGGTTTTTGTTTTTAATGTTTATAGCAGCTTTATTCATAACTGCTAAAAGTTGGGTGTGAATGAATAAACAAACTGAGTAACATGCAGGCAATGGGCTATTTAGCGCTAAGAAGAGGTGGGATATTAAGCCATGAAAAGGCGGAATCTTAAATGCATATTGTTGTGAAATTAGTCAATTTGAAAAGGCTACCGTATGATTCCAAATGTATGACATTCTCGAAAAGGCAAAGCTGCAGAGTGGTCAGGAGTTGGAGGGAAGAGAGTGTTGAATAGATGGAACATGAAAATTTTAGAGCAGGGAAGCTATTTTGATGACACTATAATGGTGGATGTGGGTGGCCATTATATACTTGTCAAGGCCCACAGACTATACAAGTGAACCCTTTTGTAAACTATGGGCTTTGGGTGGTATGATAAGTCAATGTAGGTTCAACAACTGTACCACTCTGGTGCAGGCTGTTGACAGTAGGGGAAGGGGCTGGAGCAGGATTTCAGAACTCAGTAGTACTTTCTGCTCAATTTTTCTGAAAAGTTAAAACTTAAAAAAATTTATTAATTAAAGCAGAACTAAATTATAATCTATAGAACCAAATACTTGAAGCAGGAGTAGTAGTCATTTCTTGGCAAACATCCAGTACAAAATCCAGACATTCACACCTGTACTCAAGGTATCAAGCAACAATGAGGCTGGTTAGGACAGAACGCAGCAATCAATCGCTGGGATACAAGTCAATGGTAGCTGTGGGCTCTCCATACAGCTTATTAGGCTCTCCTTATTAAGATATGGCCCATCCAAAGGGAACGTTGGTCTGTTCAAATGAGGTCGCTTTTCCTTCCCCAGTGCAATTAATCTTTTCATCATCTTCTTATTTCTCTTAGCACATTCAGGACAAAACATATTGTCTTCTAGGCCTGGGGATGGGAACGCGCAGGCAGGTAACAGGAAGAGAGAAATCATCCTCTTGGTAGTGTCAGGCACCCAGGCCTGACCTGCATGAAACTGCAGGCGAACCCAGCCTTGTGTGTCTGCCAAGAGAGGTCTGCCATGGACAACACACCACCGGACACCAGAGGCTTGCAGCAGAAAGGTCTCAACAGAAGCAGGAATGGAACGTGAATTCACAGACTTGGATTGCGTGGCTCTTGCAGCAATTCTTGACCATGCTGCCAACATGCCTTCCTGTGCTGAAGTTACCACCTCGACGGTATTAATCCCTTCCTCTCTCTCACTCTTCTTACAACTTTTCCAAAGCCTTGCTTTCTTGGCCAGCATCTTGCCTTTCCTCGAACATCACTGCAATTTAGCTTCTGGTGATGTTTCAGGAATATTCTGGTTTATTTCAGGGTAAGCATGTTTCTGGAGCCTCAGATAAACCTCTATTTTCCGGCCATTGGTACTCAAATTCAGTTGTTGGCACCAGTTCCGCAAAGTGTCCCAACGTACTTTATTAAATGGAGGCAAACTGACTGGTTGGCAAGGGAAGGATTGGTGTATTACAACAACTATATTTTGGGCAAACCTTGAATTGTTCATTTATTTGAGGATGACAAACTTTATCGCTTGACCCAGGCATCTTCAGGCTGACTTCTGAAGTTGAAGAAACACTTGCTTTCATTTGATGTTCTTCATTAGGTTCCTCATTAACTGGAACCAATGTGAGAATCACACTCTCTTCCTCTAATGCCTCCTCTGAGAAATTCTGCTCATTGTTCTCGTAAGTCAAGGGCACCATTTCCAGGAACAGTCAGAGGAAGGCAAAGCTAGTAGCAACCTTAGGACATCTGCCCTTTACTCTTTTTCACCTCTACATTAGTGATGTTTTAAGGTTAGTTTGAAAACTGTTATCCGAAAATGCATACAATTTATCATTTTCTTTCATCGAAAGAAAACTGATATTGGAGCATCTGGGTGGCTCAGTCAGTTAAGTGTCTGACTTGGGCTTAGATCATGACTTAGATCAGGGCTTATAACATGTAGATGCTGATCTCAGGGTCCTGGGATCGAGACCGAGGCTGGGCTCACTGCTCAGCAGTGAGTCTGCTTGTCCCTCTCCCTCTGCCCCTCCCCCATTCATGCAAGTGAACACCCGTGCTCTCTCTCTCTCTCAAATAAATAAAATCTGAAAGAAAGAAAGATAACTGATATTTAATTATAACCTTAAAGAATAAACTATCAACACTGGCCACTGATAAAAGGTTGAAGATAAGTTTTGAAAATACAACACTGCTTGCTTCATTTTGGATAGCAGTTACAAGAATGTCCTGGGCACGCCCCCCTGGGTGGCTCAGTCGGTTAAGCCGTCTGACTCTTGATTTCAGCTCAGGTCATGATCTCAGGGTTGTGGAATTGAGCCCCATGTCAGGCTCTGTGCTCAGAGTGGAGGCTGTTTGAGATTCTCTCTCTCCCTCTGCTTCTGCCCCTCACCCTGCTCTTCCTCTCTCTCTCTCAAAATAAATTAAAAAAGAATGTCCTGAACTTCCTGAGATCACTTTAAAATTTCTTCTTCCATTCCAATCAACATACTTTTGTGAGCAGTGTTTCTCTCTTTATGTGTGCTATTAGGCAAAACTTAGAAACAGTTTAGATATACACTATTCCTTGAGAAGAGCATGGTCTTCCCTCCAATCCAGATGAGATAAAATAAAAAACAAGAAGCCAGCTTAATGATCACATTAAAAACTTTAACTATTAATATGTCCAATGCATAGTAAAATTGTGCCTACAGGTGTTTCAAATGGAGACAGTTTCACACACAATGTTTTATTTAGCTAAAAGTTGCAAATGTAATAGTGATTTTCTGTATTAATTGCATATATATACACTTGCAAAGAAAAATGGGTCCACTTTTTGGAATTATTTTATTTGTATGTTCATTTAATGACATTTGCTGAATTTTATTTTATGTCTTTTGACTCCATACAACTTTTGAATTTATATTTTGACATTTTTCTCCGTTTCATTTTCATTGTTTTCATAGTTCGTTTTTACTATATCTTATAAATGTAATTGTATATACTTGATTGGAAATTAAACAACAGAACAAAAACTGAATCCTCTCCACAGTTTGAGAAGCACAGCTCTCTAGTCAGTGCCCCTTAATCTTGTTAAGAATCACCTGGGGAATCTTATAACATGTAGATGCTGATTCAGTAGGTCTGCTTGAGCCTGAGATTTTTTTTTTAAAGATTTATTTATTTATTTGAGAGACAGAGAGAGAGAGACTCGTGAGAGCAGGAGGAGGGAGGGGCGGGGGGGAGGAGGAGGGAGAGGGAGAGGGAGAAGCAGACTGTACTGAGCTCGGACCCCATGCGCAGGGCTGGATCTCACGACCCTGAGATCTTTACCTGAGCTGAAACCAAGAGTTGGATGCTCAACCAACTGAGCCACCCAGGTGCCTCAAGCCTGAGATTCTGTATTTCTAACAAATTCCCCTGCAGATGCTGTTGGGCCACAGACCATATTTTGAGTAACAAGGTTTTAGAGCAGTCCTACCCAACAGGAATGTATTGGAACATGCACACTTTAAAGTTTTCTGGTAGTCATATTTAAAAAAGTAAAAAGAACCAGGTGAAATTAATTTTAACAGTATACTTTAACTCAATATATCTAAAATTTTATACTTTCAACATGTAATCACTATAAAAAT